ATTGTGTCTCAGGTCGACTCCAGAGCTAACCTGTGGTTGGCCATATGGCTTCTGGCACTGCAGATCGGAATGCCACCATCTGTACCCCTGAGGCTGGGCCATAGTGGATCATTTCTGAAGTGGAATCCGAACTCATAAAACCTGCACTCTTGGCCACCATGGGATGCTGTCTCCCATCCTACTGTAGAGCTATGTCGAGAGACTCAGAGGCCAAGGGGGAGTCAGAGCAGGATTAAAAATGGCTTTATATGTCACAAGAAGGAGTCTGGATCTTTTTGTAAATGTAGTTGTCAGATGAGTAAAAGTGAGGCGGTAGGAACTCTGTATTGTACACTGGCGGCTTCTATCAGTCCTCTCATCTATAAAATAAGTAGTGACATAATTTGTAAACTTCTTTCATTTCTAAATACCATATTGTTGCAGTTTGATTCATCCTGTTCTTTACAACCTAACAATGACTTTCTTGTGTAATTTGTATCAATCAAATCGTTCACAGTCTTGTGATCTGTAGGCTGCAGCCCCTGACTGCTTTTGACCTCACTACTTCTCTTCTTTACTGCAAGCTTTTTTGTTCCAGAAACGTCCTTGTTCATGGCCTTTGGACTTGTTAGTTCTTCTGCCTGAAATGTTTCCCCCGCTCCAGATCTTTCCTTAATGGTTCCCTCAATAAATCGTAACCACTGTACCTAAAGAAGCATCTCTATCATCTTTGCTAATCTCTACCTCATTCCTGTTTCATTTTCTTCATACAAATTGTCACCACTAGAAATCAATTTGTGTGTGTGTGTGTATGTGTGTGTGTGTCCTCAGTTAGTGTATACTATGCTCATGTGGTCCAGTGTCAACCCGATGAAGACAAGAATCATGTTGCTCTGTCATGGCTGTGGCCCCTGTGTGGACACATGGCACTCAGTAGCCCCTGGGAAGATTTGGCAAATGAACGAACAGATGGCTCCTGTGGTGTGGCCTGCATTTGAAGGGGTCTTCACAAGGTCAATGGGAAATGTATTATAAAAAAATCTAGCATGGACTTCCAATACTTTTTGCACCAAAACAAACTCATACTTCTGTTTTTTCCATGAACTCTTTGAAGTAACTTTGTAGTACATAATACATTTTAAACATTTAATGGAAGCTCAAAAATACATAGTAGTGAAAATGACAGCTACCATGTGTAGGTAGGTATCATTACCCCAACTTTACTAACAGGGAAATGGAATCTTAGGAAGATCAAGCAGTTTGCTCAAGGTTATAGAGCTAGTAAATTAACCCGGATTGAAAGCCAGTCCCATTTTAGTACAATGTCGTTTGTTGCTGACTGACTTCTATAAAGAGAAACTGCTGTTGCTTCCCTTTGGGCTGTTAAGAGTTTGCAATTTCAAAGAGCATTTTGTGAGTAACTGCTTATGTCCTGAAAATCAGGCTAGGAAGCAGGTGCTAGGTACCTAGGACACAGAGGTAGATAATGTCATACAGTTCCCAACCTCAGAGCTGAGTTTGATGAGAAAAACAAATAAGCAAGTGTGGTAGAAGGGATGTCGCCATGACTCAGACAGGCCTCCTTCCTCCCACACGCAAAAACCCTCATGCTACTGGAGTCTCATGCCTCTTAAATTGTTCCCTTGAATCTTGCCCAGGAGTTTAATTCTATTTTATTATATTATTCTGTATTTCTAAACAGTGGTAAGCTGAGTAACCATCATTTACTAAGTGCCTCCTTATGACAGATGATTTATATACACTCGTTAATTGAACTCTTACAACAGCCCTGCTTTACAAATGAGCAGCCAACAGCTTATTGGTCACTGCATTGTACCCTGATAATCACTGTACAGTATGTGATCGAAATGCAGGTTCACAAATACTGGGATAGAAGGATGCGTGTGCAACGAGCTATCAGAGGCCAAAGAAGCTAGTGCCTCCACAGGTGTTTAATGTTAGAACTGTAACAAATAGGCCATCTGGTCAACATTTTTTTTTCTAATAGAGTTTTGCTATAGGGTATGTGTGCTCACTGGAGAGATAGAGACACAGAAAGTGAGAAATCATCCAGCAAGGGGAATGGCCACTCCACAATCCCTTCTCCTCCATTCCCCTTTTGGGATTTTGGACATACATGCACATGTACCCAACGTTTTTCAAGCCATTGAGTCAAGGACTCAAACCTTAGTTGGCTATGTGAGAGTCCAGTGATGTAACCAGTATGCCATTTACCAGCTCCCTGGCCAACTTTTTATTTAAATGTTAAATAAATCATGTATTGGGTTGTTGGAAAAGTCATGATGCATTTTTCTAAGATCAACATACACTGAAGTGCACAATTTTCTACAGTCTTAGGACAAGAATAAATAAGTCCAAACATTAGTCATGTTTATTTGTGTGGGATTTACTAAAATAAACAGTAAATAATAATTTTGAGGTCAGCACTGCAAGAATTCATACTAATATTCTGATTTTATTTTTATAATTTAAAATTTTATTTTATTTATTAATTCTAGGAATGAAAGAGACAGAGGCACAGCACACTCAATAGGGTCTTAACCCCACATCTACTCCATGCATGCTTGGCCTACTCAGAAAGGATCCTCCCCATGGGGGTCACCCTCACAGAGCATCACGTTTTACCGAGGCCCCAATACAATCTACCCATTCCTTTGTCTATAGATTTTAAATAAATATAGATTTTTAAATATGATGGTAAGGCTTGTCTAGCTATGTCAAATTGGATCCTACTATCCCAATTTTAACTCTAATATAATGCCCTTAAACACCAAAAAACACAGAACAGAAAATTCCTCCCCCCTCCCTAGTCTTGTGGCAAAGCCTTTGGTAAGAAATGAATTTGTCCCTACCTCAAAACCACTGGACTTATCCATGAGTCACAGCAGGCACCGTGCTACAGGTTCACAGTATTTAGGTGTCCTCAAATGCGTTTTGCTTTAAAATGAGAAGAAATTAGCTTGAAAGCAACGGGAATTTTAAATAAGTGATATGAAGATATTACTATTTGTATAAGCACAGTCATTAATCCATGTACATGTGTGTTTATGAAGGGACCCCCCCAAAGCAATATGCCTGACTCAAAGAAATCATAATGCTGTCTTGCCTCAAAATGTCCTTTTCATTAAATTATTCTGAATTATTTACAAGGTATACCAGATTTTCCTCTGTCAGATAGGAATGTTGACACTTCTTGGGCAGAAATTCTCTCTTTTACAAGATAATCCTAAGACCTTTTTTTCAAAAGGTCTACTTATTTGATATCAATATCTACTCAATTGGGAGGTTTACTCTCTCAAAGTTAATCTTTTAGAGAGAAGAGGGCAGGCAGAGGAGGAGAGCATTTGCTGTGAAACGCGGCCATCCTGGGCATTTCAGGCTGGGACGAGGCGGAGACTCCCTCCGGCTTATCCCACGGCCGGCCAGCAGGGGGCGCGTGGCCCTCAGCGCTCAGGGCCGCCGCTCCCAGCGCCTCCAGGACCGTATCCCTACTTGCCCCAAGGTCACAGCTCCTAAGCGAGCTTTCCAGCTCCAGGCAGGGGACGCCGGCGACGGAGCCCTCGGAGCCGGAGACCCGGGCGCGAGAGGGGCTGATGGGGCGTGGCGGAGGGTCTGCGGGGCCAGCGATGCGATCACAATGGGGACAGGGGATGCACGGCTCCGGGGGCCCGGGTC